GTTCAATAATATTAATATTGAATTTATTAGTTGGGAATGTTTAAATAATTATTTTAAAAGACACGATTTTATTATTCAAATTTAAACTTATGAATGTTCCAATATTTTGTTTATTAAAGAATTTTATCGATCCGCATTTTAAGTAAGTAAAAGTAAATGAAATTAATTTTTGGTAACACCTCAAGATGTATAAAATTTTGGGACGTTACAATTCTACCAACATAGATCAAGATTGTGAGTGATTATGATGACGAACTGAATAAGTGCAAGTAGATTAAGTTCATGTTTGGTTCAAAAAGTAGATTAAAATTTATGTTGAAATAAATTATTAATTGTGATCGTACATTTAATGAGACCTACAACTTTTCAATCACACATTTTATTAATTTTTATCAAAATCTACTAAAAATTAATTTTTTAGATAAAATCATTGTCTACCTGTCATGTACTTCGGATAAATACGGGTACGACTTCACTTATTGAGGTTCGATGTAGCCACTTGCAAAGAGCACATGAAAAGTGACAAAAATTGGTCACACGTGACACAACATATACTAGCATACACTGTCAATGGCAGACCAAGGGTAACGTGACCCACCAACTTCAATTTTTTTTTTTTTTAACTCTTCTGAATTTCATTTGCAGTCGCTTGATTTCCAAAGAAATTTTAATTGAATTACTAAATTTTAATTTGTCACAACTGGATTACAACACAAATCTACGAAAAATTGCTTATTTGATAGTCATATGTAACATATCTTTCATTTAATTGCTTGTGGCATTCCAATCATCTTTAGATAAATATTGTTCGGCAAGGTATATTTTTTCTTTTAATACTTTTTTATGTGGGCAAGTAATGACTTGGCGTTCCGCAAAGCAATTATGCACAAATGTCATTTTCTTTTAGTTTGGGTTACGTCAAGGGACGGAATATGAAAGTGGTTAAATTCGAAACAAAATTAATGTTTGATAACTCAATTGATACAAACTGAAATTTAGCGATTCAAATTCAGGTAAATAATGACTTGCTCATTTGTGCCCAAATAATTTATTTGCTGCTTTTGACCAGATATAAAATTCTTTAATTTTTGAGGTAATAATATATCAAATGCTTTATTTTTTTCACGACTTTTCAGTTTGATTGCGCCTCTTAACTTGAGATATTTACGTCTCCCACTTTACACTGTTAATTATACATATTGTTGGAACTTGGTATTATTCCATTAGAATGAGGAGTGTATTGGAATAAGAAATATATCGATGGTGTAAAGAAGTTCGACGAGAGTCAATTTTAGGTTGTAGCAAGTGAAAGTTAATGATATTTTGATTTAGTCCGAATTGTACGAGGATTTGATGAAGGACGAATTTATGTTTTCGGAAAATTCAGGTCCACAAAGGTTTTAGGTGAAATTCTAACTATTAGGTGGTAAAATAATTATGGCTCACAAGATTCCACGTTAGTCATAAAAGGACCTATTACATGGCAGCATGCCCATGAGCATTTGTATCCAGGCCGTCGATGTCCAACCAAAGCATCAAACATATGGCCCCCTAAGCACCATCTTACAGTAAGATG